ACACCTTTCCGAAGTCATAGCCCCCAGCCAGCCCAGATTTGTCCAGGACGAGCGAGAGGCTACGATGGATGTTTTTCCTAAGTCAGTGATAACAGGATTCCTGGAAGGAGCCTGGCAGCTGGACTCTGCTGTTTCTGTATCTCAGGGGTGACTAACCTGTCCAGGGAAATAACCTGCACAGCGGTGCAGACTGCCGTATGCCAGCACACTTTCACATAGACACAACCATGGGGTTGTGTACCTATATAACCCATCCCACTTCCTGTTTTCATTGCTGTAGTTAAAGAAAAATCTCTGGTGGCCAGAAAAAAAAGAGAGTGCTTTGCACAGAGTGTTGAGGAGCCTGAGAGGTAAAGATGCCAGATGCCATCTCTTGCCTCCCACATATTCTGGAAGAGACTGCTCCATTGTAATGTAAAGCATCTTCTGCCGGAAAGAACTGAATTATGAGATATTGGAGGACTTCATGAACTCAGTATATTTGTTACATTAGCACATGTGGTTCCTCTGCTGTCTTCTTTTTCTTTTATATTTTCTTTATATTCTCTCCTGCCCCCCATCCTTGAACTTTTAACAGCTTTCACACCTTCGCCTCTTCTCTCCTTCCCTTTTGCTCATGCCTGTCATCCATTCTTCGTCTCCTGTAGGAATATTTACCATAGAACCTAACAGCAAACACGGGACATAAATCACTGCATGTGAGATGTAACCAAATACCCAAGACTCTTAGAGTCAATGAATATTTAGTATGTTTTACTTGTGAAATTGGCATTTCATCCAGTATTTCATTTCAACCCCCCCCCATATCTCATGAAGTGGACTTGTCCACCAAAGCTCACATTAAAATATAGTAGTCTTTAAGGTGCTGCTTGTTTTTGTCTTGTCTTGGGTTTTTTTTTGGGGGGGGGGTTATTTTGCCTGATATGAGCACACATGTAATTGATCGCCAAAATGTAACCATTGACTTTCTTTCTAGGTTTCACTGCATATTCACTTATCACAAACAAGATAATACTGAGAGATTTAAAATGTTAAGACAGGAAGTATGAACAAGATAATACTGAGAGATTTAAAATGTTGTTAAGACAGGAAGTATGATTTTTTTTAATTGTCTGCTTCTAGCCTAACTGTAAAAAATCTTTTCCTACAAATTTTTCCATTTGTAGTCAAATGGAAATTTCACTCTTAATTATGGCAAACATATATTTGGAAGAGTCCATTTATGATGAATAAAATGTGCTTCAGTACTAAAGAACAGCACAGTGTTCTTGAAGCAAAGAAGAAATGACTGTCTCTGGTTTTGAGATTTTAGTGTCATGTTTTTCCAACTGGGCAAATTTTGAAGAGTCCCTCATTACCATCCAAGAGAGCATGGAGTAAAAAAAAACAAAGCAGTACAGACAGAACACTTGAAGTGTGAATGCAAACCGCAGGACTCACATGGTTGCAAAAATAATATCAAGAACTGACAGGAAGTTGACATTTTTGCTATTTTTTTAAAAAATAAGACATGGAAAAAGAAGACATAGAAAAAACTTTACCTGTAAAACACGTCAAAATAATTCTTTGATGAAGAGCCATAGATTGATTCAAGTTGTTCAGTTCCTTTTCTAAACAGCACATTTGTTTGAATGAAACAAAGAAGTATCAAAATCTATGTTAAACTCTCCCTACTCCCATTGCCCACCAGATAGTAACACTTTAGTCATACAGTCACATGCACTGTATTCAAAATTAACTTGGAACATCAGGTTCTTTTTTTTAAAACCAGAAAGGTTATTTTTGCCATTAAATAAATTAGGTAAATTGAATGCTAATGATACGCACCAGCTTACAATGGATGTGCGTCCATAGTCCTGAGTTCATTTTTCAGTTAAAGGTGGACAACATTCAATATTCTGTGGATCATTTTTTGTTTTTAATCTCCACCTTGGAGGGGTGCAACGTCATCCAACGGTTCCTACACTCTCATGACACTAGACATTTTTTTTTTTGCCCTACATGACAAATTGTGATAGACACCCCAATGTCTTCTGGGGTATGATTTGCCCAAAAACGTATATTCCCCCTCAGCTTTCTTTTGGATTTAAGAAAAATCATATTTTTAACAAAAGGAAAATAACTGATCAAGGGGTCCAGAAGTGTGCATACGGGGTTTTTTTTGCCCTACATGACAAATTGTGATAGACACCCCAATGTCTTCTGGGGTATGATTTGCCCAAAAACGTATATTCCCCCTCAGCTTTCTTTTGGATTTAAGAAAAATCATATTTTTAACAAAAGGAAAATCACTGATCAAGGGGTCCAGAAGTGTGCATACGGGGTATGAACTGCACTTCGTTGGCGCCTACAGTGTTAATACTAACCATTCAGTCAATGCTTACTTATGATGAACCTTGCCAGAATTTTCTAGGTATGAAGTATGCAGAAGTGTTTTACCTGCCCCTCCTTCAGAGGTGCTGTGTCATGATGAAGCTTGCCCAAGTCTATATAGGTGAAAAAACTCTATATATAGTATACTTAACAGTATATGCAAGAACATAAAACTAAATGCAATAAACATATTAAATGTGTCTAACGTGAAAATTCTTCAGGTTAGACTCATTTAATACAGTTATTGCATTAAGTTCTACGTTAAGCACATGATGCGGAGTTTTCTCAGCAATAGTAGTTTCATTCTGTACTCCCTAATTGTCATGAGGCTATATAGGTGGCCTGTTAGTACACATGCCCAGGAGACCCATTGGGGATCTGAATGCCCAAACTCTGGCTCCCTAGTCAGAACCCACTGAGCTTTGCCAGCTATTAGACGTGACACTCATCAAAGCCATGTCTTCTGAGAGGACAGGAGAGTCGTTCTGAAAGCATGCATCTCTACAGAGACTGCAGAACGATTTCATCCCCTGCAGTATGGAAAAGGATAAAAGAACGACTCAGAAAACACAGAGGCAGATGTTTTGGTGAGTGACCAACTCCAATCCAAGCATGAAGTATAGAAA